CTGGAACCAACTTCCAAGTGAAGTGGTGCTGGCTCCTGCCCTGGGGGTCTTTAAGACAAGGCTTGACAATCACTTTGCTGGGGTCGTTTGACCCAAGTACTCTTTCCTGCCATGGCAGGGGGTCGGACTTGATCTGCTCAGGTCCCTTCCAACCCTACTAACTATGAAACTTGCAATCATAGACATATTCATCCAGTTGACAAAAGACAGGGTTAACAAAATATAAAACACAAACAGCAAAACAAACAATACTGGTTGGCGAAATATAAAAGGCACAAAATAGAAAACGTCAAACAACAAGGAATATAGGGCCTAGGTACCTGAGGGGTGGGGGAGAGGGAAACCACAATAACACCTTTCCACTGCAACAAGAACTCCTCCTCCCTGTCACTTCACTCACCCAAAGTCATCCCAGCTGGGACTTGAACACAGTAGGCAGGAGCTCTACCACACAGCCATCAGTGCTAGTACTATTCTAGGGGTCTTGACCTTCCCAGAGCCCCTGTCTCACATAGAGCTGCCTGGCCTCTTATTGGACGAGCTGGAAGCAGAGCTGGGAACCTCTCAGGTCCCTGCTCAGATCCTTGCTGGAGCGGGGGAGCCTCTCCTGCCAGCTGCACGCCACACTGCTGAGGGTCAACTGTTGCCTGCAGGTCCCACTCCTTCAGGTTCTTCTGAGGCTCATGCCCCGCTGGCCCAGGGCTTTGAAACTCCTTCCCTGTGGTCTCTTGCTGGTCTCCCCTGAGTCAGCTACACTGCCCTTTTTATCCCCCTCCAGGTGACTCAAGGGGCCAATCAGGGGACATTGAGAGCGAGTCTCTGGGGCCTGATTGGTGAGGAAATGGAATCCCAAGCCCTCCAATCATCTTTTACCCTTTCAGAACCCCTCGGGTAAATCACTACTAGCTAGCCTGTCACAGGGGCAAAAAAATAAAAAATAAAAAAAATACAAAACTAAGATGAAGATGCTAGAAAGAAAGATCCACCCATACCAGAGGACATGGGTGGTGACACAGGTGTGCGTGAGGAATTGACACACCAAGTAAGTTACATGATGTACCCAAAGTCACACTGGAAGCCAGGGACTAACACTAGGCCTCCTGAATCTCCATTAATTGACCTACCTGGAAACCATCATTGCTGCCTTACCTAATACCTTGCATGCAGCCTTGCAGTAAAGAGACAGTTACTGGTCTTCAAGCAGTAAATTCGACAGAGCGTGGCCACAGCAAAAGATCCAACCAAGTTGGTTATATGTACCTCATCTTAACACACACCTTCAGAGCACACATGGCTTATTCACTGCTTCTTCAGTTGCATTTTTAAGAGGTTTATGGTGACAGCACAGGTCAGTCACAAGGTCCACAGTTTGATTCCATTTGCCTTTTCAATGCAGAGGCCATCATTCTGAAAACACTAAGCAGAGACCTCTTTCTTCACCTTGTCAGGACCCAAATGCAACTTTTACTCCCTGCCCCTGACACACCCACAAAGGACTGTATGACACACATTAGGAGAGTGGGTGTCCATGACAGGATTATAGGATCATTCTACTCAGAAGTGCAACCAAAACCATAACAGTGGAGACCTGAGCCATTTAATTTGTCCTCAGTATTTGATGCTAGTTCTGGCAAATTAGTACAGCTACCTCTAGCCACGGTAGGCCAAAACACACATTCCTTTTCCACTTAGAAAGTAAAACAAATGAAGCATGAATTGCTACCACAAAGACAGAACCCACCTGATGTTATTTTACAGCACAGCCACACTCAGTCAAGGTCTATAATACAAGGGATTAGGGTCCTTTACTTTGTCTCCTCTACAAGCTCACTGTAGGCACACCACAGGTGTTGCTACCAGGTTCTTGCCTGTATCCTCTGTCCTCTTCTCCCTTTTTGTATTCTCACCTGTTGCATCCCAATACAGACTGAGTAGGGGAGGCTGCCTAGAGAATGAGGCACACTTTGAAGAAGTGGGCCCTTGTCTGGTTTGGTGCTCCCTGGCCCCATCCCACTTGTACTTTAGCTGAGCCCTCTAGTTCAGGGCCCACTATTCAGGACTGCCAACTCATCATTGGTCACATCTTGTGACCCAGGTTCCAAGATGCATAATATTCCCTGGGATCCAAACAAAAAGAAAATAAAACAGAACATGCACAGGTACTTAACTTGTTTTCCATGCACATCCAGAAATCCCCTTCACTCAGAGCTTCTTTCTAAGTCCTCCTGCCACTGTCAGGACTTCAACTAGTGTTAAACTAGTGCAAAATTTTAGTCTTTGACTACAGATTAGACCTAAAGGATTATCCTGGAGCATGGTGGAAAGCAGCATTCCTTTTGCACGGTTGCTAGTCTGGCCACAGAGGCAGGAGAACATAGTACTGCCCAGCCACTTGGGAGACCAAAAGGGATACACACCAGGAGAGTACAGACCACTTTAGGAAGCATTAACTCAACTGAAATAATTTCATTTTAGCATTTGAAGAATACAGCTGATCTTGCAGACAGGAGCATAGGTTTACAAGGCCCAACTATGGTGTTCTGCTGACAACTACAGCAGTTCCCCAAAAGCCCATATCAGAACTTTTCCCAGGACAGATGCGTTGGCTTGGACAGAGGGGACAAACTTTTCTGGCAAGTGTCACAAGTTAGCCCTGCACCCTCCCAAAGTGCAGCTCAGATGCCCTCCCCCGCCGTTTTATGTGCTCCTCTGCTTTCTGTTCCCTGCCATATGATCCTCACCTGATCTACTGTTCTATCTGATAATGTGTGGCCTGCTCCCTTTCTAATATGCTGTGTACCACACATAGGATGCACAAGTGATTTGTCATGTGATCAGCCTCCTGTAAGCGCCCTACAGCTGTGCTGTGACACACATGCATACCTGCAGAGCCCTTTAAAGTGGCTGATTGGGCAACAAATTAACCCTCATCAAATGAGGGATCAGATGAAGGCACTCCACTTTGGAGTGGCTTAGGGAACTTTTGTTCCATAGGGTCAATCCAGTACATGATCAGGGCTGGGCTGCATCAGTGCGGTCTGCAGGAAGGGAGGGGAAGCGAGCTGCAGGCTGGGGTTTGCTAAGCCTGAGTTGTGGGGGGGGAATAGGTGGATTGGAACCCCCCCGTCTCTCAGCCCGCCCCTGCCAGCCCCCACACCACCCTCCAGGTCAAGTTGGGTAAACCCCAGCCTACAGCTTGCACCCCCTCCTTTCTCCCCCCTCCCTTCCTGCAGACAGCAGGGGAACTTTTGGGGGGAGCTAGGAAGAGAAGCTGTAGGCAGGCTCCCCAGCTGGATCAGCTCCAAATTGAAGCTTGATTCCTGCCCCCTGCCCTGCCTAACCTAAGTTAGAGCAGGGCATACACATCTGTCAGCACCCCATGGAGGCTGCCTGGGCCACTTGGGGCACACAGAATGGCCACTTCGAGGCCAGGACATGTAGCCTTCTCCCACCCCAAGATGATGTCACTCCATCAGCACAACTGTGCAATGCAGCCAATATCTTGGTTCTCCTTGAGCCACACCTGCTGACCATCCCCACAAGGATCTGCACTCACCAGAGAAGGTGAAGGTGCCAAGGCAGGGTATGCCAAGATAAGTTTTGAGGAGAGAGTGCTCTGGATCCCACCAGCTCTCAGACTGCAAAGTGCTGCTCCATTTTACATGCAGGGATTCTGCAAGCACCATCCTCTTCACCAGCAGTCCCCAGTTCTTCCCATCCTGTCACTCAGAAAAAATAATAGTCTTCATTTTGTAAATCAGACCATGGTGGTGGATACTGAATCAGTCATTTGGACAGGACACCTGGCAGCCCACATTCAAAGAAAGAAGAGCAAATCAAAACCTTGTCCCTAAAACCCAGGTCTACTTTTGGCTACACCAACCTTTGTAGCTCTCTAAAGGTTCTTGCACTTTCAGGAAGCAGGACTTACCTTGGCCTCTCCAGCTGTGCACCAATGAACGGGCAAGGTCCCTTGTATCATACACCAGACAGAAGTGCTTGCCTGTCTTCTCAATGCTGAGGACATCCAGCTCTAAACATAAAAAGAATGATCTGTTAAGAGATATTCCCATTTGCCCCCAGTCCTTTCCAGCTCTCATAAGATTTGTCCCCATGAAGCCTGCAGGGTAGAGGAGTTTGGGGCCAACTTTACCACCAGTCTTGACAAATCTCTGCATGCAGATGTTCTTGATCTCACTGCCTGTCAGGGCATACTTGAGTTTGTTTCTCAGGACGTAAGCAAGATGGAAGGAATTCTGTGCATAAGGACCTGTTGATGGACTAAAAACCTGCAAGATGACAGAAAAGAAGTTTCTTTCAGATGTTATATCATGCAAGTCAAAATAGACAACCATATTTGATACGTTGTAAACAAGTATTCTGATTGGCTGGTATTTCAGGAAGTTTGAGTTCCACTACCCAATACATTGCTTTGCTCCTTATATACCACTGAAACAGCATGCTCACTAACTGTCCAAACGTCTTCAGGCAGGATTCAACAAACATTTGGCTCTGCCTTTTGTTTCTTTCGCTCCTACAACATCACTTCACTAACCTCTAGATCAGCAGCTCCAATGCCATTTGCTAACACAGGTGCGAAGCTTGTTCACCCCATGCTCCAATAACAACAAACCACTCAGGCAAGTTTCTTCAGAGGCATGCAAGAAAGACAGCAGAGGTGCCATGGGCTGAGAAAGCCATGCTCAGCTTGCATTTACCTATTTAAAGTCAACTGAGCTATTCTCATAGACTTCAACCACAACCACCTGCTTACTTGTGCATTCCAGAATTCCCCAAGCAAACCCTGACAAGTTTCAGGCAGTATACGTTTCAGTACACTGGGAACTTGTGACAAGTAAAATAAAAGACACCTAAGACTGGGGGAAGTGAGCAAAGGTGAGGCAGAAAAAGCCTCATGAAAGTGTTCAGTTACCTCTCCTAATAGCAAACCCAGTATTTATCAAATAATGCCAAGCCACTTTTCTGATGCAAGGAAACAAATGCTCCAGCTACCACACTGGTCTTCCTCCTCCATTGTTCTAAAGAGCAAACTAAAGAGATGTGGACAAGGCACAGAACCAGGAACTTTGTCCATGAACAAGTCTGGAGGCACAGAGGCACTTCATTGCCTAATAATGAATAGAGTTAGGACAATAATGCTACGCCTTTTGATGACTGATCCTGCCAGGTACTGATTTTCTAGTCTTCAGCAACCAGCAAGATTAGGAGTTTATTTATCTTAAAGAAAACATTGAGCAAACTTTCATTCATGAAGCTGCATGACTCTAAGCTGGGAATGGTAGAAAAAGCATCAAATACTATGAGATTCACTATTAAAACACCAACATTGGTTACACTGCTGATCCTTAAGATAAAAAGGTGCCAGTGAGATGCTTTGAGAGTGACAGCTGAAGAATACATGCTGCAGAAGAGACAAACATTTCAATGTCCTTACTAAAGTCTGCAAGTGTCAGTAGTAGTATACAGTAATCAATAATAACCCACGCAAATGGCGTTTGTTTTAGACTTCAACCTCCTCAGGCCCTACCCCTGAAGCATTTGGCGTGGGGCAAGGATTGTCACAGCCTCAAGCTCTAGGGAAAAGAAAGGTGCCCAATTTATTTATTCTTAGCCATGGCTTCCCAGCTCTTGCTGTGCAAGTGAGGACCACAGTCCCAGAGATCCTGCATGGCCCACCCTCCTCTAATCCCTGAGAGTTCATCTCTGGTGACATCATGCCTTGGTCATGTGCTGTAACCTCCTGCAGCCCTCAGGAAGCTCCTACTGGGTACATCATGCACCAACCCTCACTCCTGGATGTACTGAGAGTAGAAGGACTTGGTCCTGGCCTCTGCCTCCCTACCCAGCCAGCCTGGGGTGAGGGCTCTGGTCTTCTCAAAACTCACCTGGATCTCATCAGCCAGCAGTGCCACCACCTGGGATCTGGAGTTGCTGAGCTGCCCTGATACTCCTGTAAGGGTTGACCCTGCAAATGGCCTGCAGAAACAGCACCCAGCTCCCTCAGTGTGGGGAAAAGCCTATGTACCCACTCCCCTGTGCCTCTTTCCCCCCACACTTCTAAATTGGGTTTTCCTCTGGTCAGAGCCCTGCACAGCTGGCACTGCCTCAGGACAGGAAGACTGGCTCCTGCCCAGCTCATAGATCCTTGACACAATAATTACCTGAACTGCACCTCTCCTCAGAGACTGCAGTGCAGCCCTAGGGAGCACAGGTCCCATTCCCAGCTGGGCAGCAGGGAAGAGCCCGTTCTCCTAGGCATGATAACCAGGGGTGCCTGAGGCAGGGTGGAAGAGAGGAATTAGCACAACAGGGCAGCACATTGTGCTCAGCTGGGTTCTGGGCACCCTGGCTTGAAGCACATCATGTGTCTGGGTCTCCCCCATAGCACCCACTCTGTACAGCAAGGGGAACAGGCCTCTCCCCACCCTAACACTACATGGCCTACTCTAGTGGCTGGATCAGGTAGGGCTGGTTCCTTAGTTCAGGCAAGAGAGCTCCTTGCTTTTAAAACCCAATCAGTGCACAGCCACTGCTCCCAGGGGCCTTTTAGATCCTAATAGATTGCACCAGGACAGATGGGGGAAAAGCTCCATGTGGGGGTTAAGTACCCTCGTTAGCAGGGTAAGCACCAATGCTTGGCCCTTGCTTAGGTATCAGAGAGTACAGGTCCCACCTGCAAAGCTTCCTAACTGCCTCTCAAGGTTCCCCTCCACCACACTGCACAGAGGGCAGCTGGGAGGCAGATATGCAGAAGCTGCCAAGTCTGCTGTCTCTTTGCTCTGTCTTCCCAGATTTGTCTCTCGTTGCAGGCTAAAGCCTCTGAATTTGGGTATTTTTGTTTGTTTTTATTCATGGACAGTACCATGCAGGAGGGGCTCTGACCAGCCACATACTGCAAGAACAAGCAGGCAATTGGTGTCTGAGCTATTTCCTGTTCCCATGACTGCAGGGAAAGGTAAGTTCCAAGCTCATGAGCCATCCTGCCCCAAAATGTGTCTGCTTCCTTTGCTGTCTTTGTGTCTCTACGCTGGACTGAAATTCCCAGGGGAGCATGACACAGGGCTACAGAGAGTAGAGTAGTCACAAAACCTTGATGATCCTCTCGTCACATGGTCTATTTGTAACTGGAATATTCTAATCAAGTTTGCTCTTCCTTTATTCCATTGTGCATGAGAA